TAATATATATATATATAATACCCTTAATAGAAAGCGTAAGCAATATACTCTGAAATAAGTTCGTTCATCCACTGGTGTTCTTATTTTTTTGCGTTTACTCATATAGAATAGATTACAAAGACACACGAATTGCGTACCAAGTATATCGTCGCTGGTAAATGTCCGTCTATCAGCTTAAACATTCCTCTTAAGAATTCTGCACAGATGTTCCATCTGGTTAATTTCGGGCAAAAAGCTGGCATTTTCATCAGATGAGATTCTTTCAACCATATTTTATTCATAGATTGCCTTAGGGTCTAAGCTGAATGTGATGAAGGTTTGTCGTGCGAAACAATCAAGATCTTTCTGAAAACGTTTGAACCATGGCAACACAGAGACTTTCAAAAGATAAATCTACATCTGCGTATTAACATAACACCATCTGTTGGAGCGGACTATTTTCCTCTAAGCTCATTACCTACAATTCTAGCCGAAAACATCACCACATTGCTACCTTGATAATATCTTTACTTTTAAGGATGCCTTCTGTCAATAGACACCCTATATTTTACCTCGCAATTCGAGGACTGACCTTTATCCGACGGTAAAATGAATGCACGAAAAACTGGTCTTCATAAATTTGCGACCATTAACGAAGGGTAAGATCTTATGATTACCAGTTGCTTTCGAGATACTAGATGCTGTTAGCATTGATTTGCGTGAATTTAAGTTACGCCAAGCCTTGTTAGTAACTATATGGCTGACTGCTTGGGATTATCAGTGGCACTAAACTTGGATGTACTGCTGATGTAATAGGTAACTGCTCTGATTCGAAGAAACGAATTTCAGTACTATTCGTGTTTTTTATATTCACTTACGTGCAAATACCCATGGTAAAGGCATGAATCCACCTCCCCCTCAGCTAAGGGTTAATTAGTAAGATATATTAAATCCTTATTATCTCCACAGACTTCTTACATTCTAAAAAATAATTTCTGACACAAAATAGCCTATAAATTGTTGATAAGCCTTAAAAAAGAAAACAAATCAATAAAAAACATACATTCGCAATACTCTTTTCGACATTCTCCGCTGGCATACGACAGGACACAGGAAGATTTGTCCAGGGTCTTTAACGAAATTTTTTGCCGTTCGTTGTAATCTGATGACCCCTTTTGCCATTTCCGCATTTGCAGATGACATTAATCTTTCTCTCAATGTGTGTTATATCAGCGTCAGTGAAATATTTTAAGCCACAAGGTGACTATGAATTTGAGACTTGAAAATTCTGGACATTTCATAAAAAATGTCTGGCGCTTGTTGAATTCCCCATAGAATAATCCAGCTGGCAACATAACTGTGCAGGTAGATGTTTCCATCATTAGAAAAATATAAATTCAAATGATAATACGTATTTAGTTTGTATTAGGTTATTGCGTTCATTTCCTTCTTTATAAACGAGCACAGAAGCTGCTGAACCGGAAGTTGTTCGTGATTGGGCTATAAAATGCCAGACGTGTACAAGTCGCAGTGCGTTGCTCGCATTTTGAAAAATTATTGTAACTGACGGATGGTACACAAGTCGATATCCGATCAGTATTGGCATGGTCCCTGTGAAGAGGGGGAATGATTTTGAAAGACCTAAAACCTCTAATATATATTATAAATGGTATTCATAAAATGAATCCTGTAATGACCCCAAATATTAAGACTATCTTATAATTGAAAATGTCTTATTTCTTCCGGCAAAAAGAACGATGGCTACAAAATAACTTAGTAAAATCACTCTTGCAGAAATTGTGTCAAACCAAAGCAAAAGCTGCTATGAAACAGACTGCGAGATCTATTCGTTTTCTCGGAAGATTGATGAAGAGCCAAGAAAACCGCTCTCAGATTCCGTAATGAAGTCAATGATGTAACCACAAAACGTGGTCAATGTCCGTGTATGTAAACGCTATTACAAATGCAATAAAAGGGTTACATTTAAATATTTTACAGGAGAAAAGTCATTAAAGAAATTTCAGTACTGTGTACTGCACTCAAATAACATAATCATACAATTTGCTTGATGGCTTGCAACTTGTTTTGAGTTGTGTTAGTGTAACATACAAGTGAATGTGTTTGATATCAAACAGCTAATCATAGTAGCAGAAACAGCACAGTTCGATGTTATATAAGATCCAATAACAATTTATCAATGGAAATATGAATACTGAAGGGTTGTGCCATATATTGAAATAACGCTTGTTTCCTTCACTAGAACACTTGGGGAAAAGCTGTATTCAGCATAATAATGATCCATAACGCTGCAGTAAGAAACAGAATTTAGAGAAGCAAAGTGGCGCCACTTTAGCAATAAATTGAAAGGAAAAATAGAACAAAAATCTCCAATAAATAATATATGAAAGAATATATATTAATCTAATGATGTGAATCAATGTGAATCAATGTCAGCAAAAGATCGTAAATACCTTCATTTTTAATCGTTTGATTTCATGCAAGGCAATAATGCCACTAAGACGCAGTGGTTTACAGGAAGTGAAAATGCGAAATGGCAATAAAAGAAATGGATTCGGGAATACAGAAGACGGAGATTGACGTAGAATTTAAATCTTTGAATATTATATGTGTCAGGGAAGCAGGGAATCTGATGTATGTTCCACAGGTGAGAATTGTGAGAAAAGAAATAGAACTGACAGTTAGGTCTAACTAGTTTAATAGTAAAAAAATGTGATGCCAAGTAGCACGCTTAAATTTATGCAGTCCAGGCACTAAAGGTGACATTAAGAAGAATTGCTATGAAAATATTTGTATAAAATAAGTCTGTCTTACAGTAACTGAAGTCGGAATGCCAGATCAGGATCGATTACATTGTAGACGCTTCTTAGAATTTTGTCAAGAATCTCAAGATATATAGTCGGAGCACAGGACCAGACATGGACGCAGTATTCAATGCACGAACGAATAGTAGATTTCTAAATGTGTCAGAGAGGGTTTGACGACTAGAATTATTTGGGAAATCGCAGCGAACCAATTTTCCTAGCTGTAGAACTAGCAACTGATTCAAAATAAACACATCGCTTCATGTCAGTGATAAACGTGAGTCCAAGAAGGTGCAAAGTGTTGTTTTCCAGGCGTTTTGCATCAAACATGCTGATGGCAAGCAGAAAGGTTCTCTGTGGTAATTTAATTAAGCAATCTAGAAACTTTAAAAATTACATCATTTACTTGACATAGTTATTCACTGATTTGAGGTCATTTTATTGATTTTAAATAATTGTTTTGTCTTACACACAATTTTTCGGAGAACATCTTCATATTCGAGTAGTGTGACGGTTCCCAGGAATTAGAATCTTCGTGCCGATTGTTACTTATTTTGTTCTTATTTTTTTTTATTGGAAAGGATTATAACCGATTTCTTCTATTCAGGCTATCAGATGAATTATAGCTTAAAACAAATAATTAATAGAACATGAAATCTTTGATAATGTCAAATGCAACGTAAAGTAAGAAACAATAGAAATAGTTTTCAGAAAATTAGTTCAGTATTACATTACATAGTTCGCCGGGTGCATCACATTTCTTTACACGCAGATAAACGTGGGAAGGTATGAATCCCAAAATTTCAACGTAACCCCACATAAACGGGTTTGGGTCTGTCTAGCACCCCGAAAGAGACTTTGCCATTTGGCATAGTCTCGTCCGGGTTCCTCTCTGCCTTCGGGCAGAGATTTCAACAGCAGACAAGATCTGAATAACAGATCCCAGCTAGTATATTTAGCTAACCCCACGAGGGTTGCATGTGGCACAAGGCCACTTTAACGTGGGTTTCCCGAGCCCGTAGTCTCGGCCAAAAATATTCCCTTTTTGAACCCGCATAAACGTGTTCAGGGTCAGTCAACCTCCCTGAACGAGACTCTGCCTTTCAGCGGAGCCTCGCCCGGGTTCCTCTCTGCCCGAAGGTAGAGAGTTGGAACAGATCCCAGCTAGAATATTTAGCCAACCGCCACGAGCTATGCTTGTGGCACAAGGCCGGTTTAACTTGGGTTCTCCGAGCCCATAGGTTCGGCCAAAAATATTCCCGGGTTCAGGGTCAGTCAACCTCCCCAGACCTGACTCAGCCCTTTGGCGGTGGCTCGCCCGGGTTCCTCTCTGCCCGCAGGTAGAGAGTTCAACTGATTAGCTGGAACAGATCTCAGCTTGAATATTTAGCTACCCGCCACGAGGTATCCTTGTGGCACAAGGCCGGTTTAACGTGGGTTCTCCGAGCCCATAGGTTCGGCCAAAAATATTCCCTTTTGAACCCGCATAAACGTGTTCAGGCTCAGTCAACCTCCCCAAACGCGACTCTGCCCTTCGGCGGAGCCTCGGCCGGGTTCCTCTCTGCCCGCAGGCAGATAGTTCGACTGATTAGCTGGAACAGATCCCAGCTAGAACCTGAAGTACGTTGACTTACAGATACTTATAGATAGTTACTATCTCTAGTGTAGTCACCCGTGGGGAGGGAGAAGGTTATTCCATTGCATCAATCAAGAACCTTACGAGTTAAACGCAATCTTGGTTGAATTGCAGAAACGAAAACTCACTGTTCCGGCATTTGAGAAAATCAAGAAATTTTTACAAACTTTTGTTAATTAAACTTTCTTGACGAGATCGCCGCTGGAGACTTTGTAAAGAGCCACCTTGAAATCTTAGTTGTTCCTCCGGAATGATTAATTAAAATCGATGCTCAAAGTAAATTTGACAACATGTAATCAACAAATTCTCATTAACGATCTATCGAACTTTAATCGGGGTTCAGCGTTTGCCAATCAATCAAACCTTATCCTGAGATATGTCCTGAACTCAAATTAAGCGGGATTTATTTTAGGTCAGTTGTCTTGGTGAGAAGCTTTAACAGCAATCTGAACAACAAATGACTCGTAAATTTCGCAGGGGATTTCTTTGAATTGCTTCAAGTTTGAGATTTAATTTTTAAATTGTCCCCAGGGTTTGTAATTTCTGTGTTTATGTTTTTAAAGTAAATAAGTGCGTTTTACTTTTTATTTTATCTATCTATCTATCTATCTATCTATCTATCTATCTATCTATCTATCTATCTATCTAATGAACTCTTAAACATCTCTACCATTACAGGCATAAAGAGTTATCATAGAATTCAATCAATGTTTTTTCATTTATACAAAGAATCAACAGTTTGCTGAATATTACAAAATACCTTAAATAATTTGAATATATACACACACGCAAGACGCCGACAAGTTCACACGCATATACAAAAAGCCAAAATTAGTCTGTGTGCCGTATCCTTTCAGAACATGGCCGATCATAGCTTTGTCCAAATGTTTATCCATTGTAGCTCATATCAAGATTCCTCTCCTGCAATCCACTTAAACAAGTTCTTTATGTAGATTTTCGTAAGAGAGCTTCTTTTCTATGTCAATATGTCCTGCCAGTGTTTTCCAAGCCCTCTTTCCACATGCATTTACCCTTCTGATTCTAAATATAAGAGTCCTTTTTGTTTACATTTTTCTAAATACTTCCTCATTACTCAAATGTTCAGTCCATGGTATTTTTAGTCCCCTTCTACAGAATGAAATGTATGTTGACTCGAAATCTCTTTTCATCTTTTGGATTGTTTGATGTTAATTTAATCCAAATAATGTAAAGTTACTGATCGCAAATATTAATTCACCCGAAGAAATTATAAATTTCAATACAAGGTATGTTTGTTATTAACTTTTAGCTCTCTTTTGAAATTATGAAATTTAAATTCAAATTTTTTAGTTTGCCTCGCAAAAACTCCAATGAAAAATTACCAAACATGGAGTTATTCACATTTCGTAAGCGCGGATGGTTTTCTAGGTACTTTCATGTATTTTTTTACCATTTAAAAAAAGAAAGAAAAAACTGTTTTGGCATGCAGTTGAGTTGATACTGTTTATTATAAACAGAGCATTTACTTAAACATTTGTATCTATAAAATGAATGTATATACTTAAAAATATCTTAAAATAATTGTCGGACTTTGCCCATTTCATAATGTGTGACGTCATTTGTTTACATTTGATACGCCATGAGCAGACATGAATGTACGTGAGAGATTCATGGAAGACTGAAGTTTAAATACAGTAAATTCGACCGTGCTAACCGCACGCTCCTTCGTGGGCAAATCGGTAAAGGCACGTCAAGCTAAATGACGGTTCCGTGTAGGATACAGGTTCGAATCCTGTCGGAGGAGGAATATTTTCTATGAAAATTTCTCGGACATTCAGACCGGTAAATGTTTTTTTTAATACTGTTTATTATAAACAGATCATTTAGTTAAACATTTGTATCTATAAAAATAATGTATAAACATAAAAATGTCTTTATATATATATATATATATAGTATGTTTTAACTTTATGGTACTTATATATGGATAAACATAAGAAGTATCTTATAGATATTTAAGTATTTAAATCAATGGTAAATTATATACACACGTCAATGTTGGTTAAACTATATATATATATATATATATATATATATATATATATATTTATCCATACGTTTTTTTTCATTTAGAGTATTACTCTTTGTTTAAATTCTCTAAATGAAAAAAAATATTGTTATTGAACATTTAAAAAATAAAACTCATGAAGTTATTTTTAATATGAAACAGTAACTGATACTGTATACAATATATTTTACTTTTTTAAACATCTATATACATTATATTTGCACGTGAGGAGACAGATATGCTTTGCATTTTTTTATCAGTGGAAGTAATATCTGCCATTCTAGAGATCTAAATTACTATTAAAGATGATACACCTTGTGACAAAATATCTTATGAGAAAGAAGAAGTATTTAAGGCTTACACGGGGATATTTATAATGATAAGAATGAAACTTTATATAACGCATTACAAACTATATCTTCACAAAAGTAAACGGTCTTCCACATCCTAAAGTGAAAGCAACACGCCATTCTATCAAGAATTGTTAATAAATTAACGCTATAAGATTAAATTCATTTTGAAAATCTTACACATATGACGTTCTAAAGAAGGAATCGTTCTAGGTATGACGATAAACTACATCCGGCAGCGATCGGATGGTTTTGATGGGCGTGGAACCACGTCTTCATTACTGTTGTTCCCAGGTCCACCCTGGTCCAGGATGGTAGAACCTATTAGAGTCCCATTTATGGATAAATAGTTAACACCCACACTAAGGTCAAAACAATATGAACGTATAAATATATATTTATATTCATAATACCAGCAATACATTTTCACAATAAAAAAAAAAATCTAGTAATATATTTTTGTAAAAAAGAGTACTAATGCTTCCAAGAAAATTAAATTTTGACATTATATGACCAGTAAGGAGTTGATGTGTCGCTAAGCAAAGACGCAAACAAACTGTAGAAATAATTCATAGTTGTAGAATTTATATATATATATATATATATATATATATATATATATATATATTATTGTATTATTAGAAACACCTGTTAACGAATCCAACAGAATTCTTTTTGGTGTTCATGATTTAACCATTTCGCGATTAAGAATAAATTTATTCTCCGATATACATATTCTGATGAAAAATATGGTGACTAATGCTATAAAAACAAAATCTATAACACATATCTATTCGCCATTTAATCTCCTTCGAAGTAGTCCGTTTCTGAAACCATATACTTTTGGCCATCAAAGTTTCATTGACTGAGCTCCTTTTTTTGTAATAGTGAGCAGCTGCCAGGCCCTATTTTCTCGACGTCTTGTTATTGTTTTTCTTTCAAGTGGGTTTTGATTTTGAAAAGTCACAAGTGTCGAGATACCGAGTTTATGTTGGTTTTTGATCCTGGGAGATTTGCTTTCCCGCAAATGCTATGATCACAGATGAAACCTCATTGGTGTGATGAAACGGCCACATTCCCCACAGTTTTCTTTCATGGACAATGGAAGTGAGTGAGAACGTTAAAACTTACTTTATTTATCTGTCTATATTTCTGAGATGAGGTATTATGTACATTATTTACATTATTCGGACTTTTGACAATTGACTTTTTGTCGCCATATTTATCACATGTACACTCCGCCCTTCTTCAGGTGGTTGGAATTTCGAACTGAACCCTTTATTCGCTCACTGGGCTAGTTCCACGTGCCATGTTTTTAATGGATGTCAGTTATCAGTTATCTCCTGTCAATTTCCCTCTGAACGTTCTCCACTGCCTTAACCGGGTATTGAACTCACACTCTTTTGTCACTGGATCTAACCAACGCCTTTATCCATGTGTCCTTGAGGACATCTGGGTATGAATTTTGGGGTATTATAAACCTGATTTCTTCAGCAACCATTTTTACCAGTGCTCATATTGTAATTTTGCTGTTATCATTGCATGTTTTTACTAGAGCTCATACTGCAACTTTGTTGTTAACATTGCTTTTCTCTGGCACTCCTTATTACTGGTTCCCATATTGTATTTATTTCTATGCTTGGTCGGCTCAGGAGATTTTTGTGGCCTAGCATATGTGCTGATTCCTTAAGTTTACTTTGTGTGAATGCGCGACATGTTTCAATATCAACTGTCTCAAGCAATTTAACTCTGCGTACCTTTTGATCAGATCTCGTATAACAATTGATTGTTTACAACTGCGAGTGTTAGGAATTTTCTACTCAAAGACAAATAATGAAAGAGTAACCGTCAATTTAAAGGCGACAATTGCACCAGCTCATCCACGTTTTGTTATTCTAACGTCTACTTCACAATTTCATGTTTATCGGAATGAAAATCATTATTTGACATACTGATAATAACTTCTCAGTATATGAATCAATAGCTTCATCTACCGCAAGGAAAATTGGTTCTCTGTGTCGCGACAGAAAGTCCAGCCTTCAAATCTTTAAATCAGCCATCCGCCCTTGCATGGAATACTGCTGCCATATAAGTCTGGACAAAATCAAGAGACGATATGCAATGTGATTGGTTCTGATCTAGCATCTCGTCTACCGTAACCTTCTTACAGACGTGACGTCACTTCCGTCTGGCTTTTTTACAAATATTTTCACGGTAACTGCTCCCACGAGCTACTTTAGCTGGTTACCAAACTGCATTAATTTAAGCGTGCTACAAGGCTGCCATCTCAGTTCCACTCTTTCGATGTCGAAACAGTTAAAGTAGCCGTCTCTTCTACACCAATGGCTTCATGTCTCGCACTGCCCGACTGTGGAATTTCCTTCCTCTTACTTGCTTCCCTGGTAGCTATAATCTTCAAATATTCAAATGCAATGTCAATCGACATCTACAGCTGTCTAGATCTAATTCCCCGTCATTCTCATCATCCTGTCATCTGTAACGCCTCTTTATTCTTGCTCCAGCTCTTTGTAACCTCTTACGTGCTAGTGGCATTACCGCCTTGCATGTGGTGAAATGTTTAAAAAATATACAGGTTTCTTCGAGTTCCACAAATTCCAGAGCATTTTACCGTTTATAGTTCTTAGTCCAAATTTACTCATTTCTTCAGGTGATCTTCGAGATTAATTAGCTTTTCCCTCTCGAAGAAGAAGAAAAGAATTTAAACAACAGAAATGTGATTCTACAGAAATATTCTAAGGATGTCGAGAAACGAAAATGTGACCATAGGCAAGGTTTTGGAGACAATGGAAACAAAACAAGAATCATACTTAACATCAGGAAGAGGTAGTTGAAATTTCTGGGCTCGTAATGAGGAAGGGTGGCTTGAAAAATCTGATACTCATAAGGTAGATTGAGAGAGAGAGAGAGAGAGAGAGTAAAGTAATGCGTAACGTAATTGATGACCTTGAGTAAATGGATGCCAGAAAAGGTTTAGGAAAAATAACATGATAAATATTTTATTAACAGCTACAAGGGAGAGAAGATGAGTAGAGACATAACTTGAGAACATGAGTTCTTTCATTTCAAAGGTTTAAAAGAATTATATTTATACTAAATGCACACAACCTATTTAAAATTATTAACTGAAATCTCTTATAAAATTGGCAAAAATAAAAATTGTTACTTCGTAGCTAAATTATAAAATAAATCTAACTACTATTTTGGAAAACCTTTTACATTATGTCCTTATCT